GAGGAAGGAAGGAAGGAAGGAAGGAAGGGAGGGAGGGAGGGAGGGAGGGAGGAAGGAAGGAAGGAAGGAAAAAAAATGTCTTCTTCCTATATGTTAAAGGTTCTCAGCCCTAGAATGAGAGGACCTTATTTGACCCTGTAGCCTCTTTTTCCTCTGACTCCTGTTCGGAGGCCCCTCTCAGAGAGTGGCCTGTTCACTCTGAGTTAGAGGAGTCCACATGAGACTGTCCCATCCGTATCTAAGTGTGAACACTTAGGCACTGCAGAGTCCTGTTCATAGCCTGGGTCGCATTAGGGCCAGAATATACTTCAGTGTGGAGGAGGAAAAGGAAGAGATATTCTGAGAAAAAAAAAATTACAAGAGGAATACATCAACTTTATAGTAATTTGCCTAGGGATAGATGGGAAGAGCATAAAGGCAAAAAATTAAATAGCACATAAAAATGGTTCCAATGCCAGGCATGGTCGCACTCGCCTATAATCTGAGCTACTCAAGAGGCTAGGACAGGAAGATTGCTTAAGCCCAGGAGTTCAAGGCCAGCAAGGACAACATAGTGAGACCCCATCTCAAAAAAAAAAAAAAAATGGGGTCAATGAGATGAAGTCACATGACAAAATCAGTATTTAAAATTATGAAAATCTTCAGTCTTTTTGCTCCACTCCCAAATCATTATAAGAAGTTCAGAAAAAAGAGTTTTACACCTGGTCTGAAAAAGCCATTGGATTCTAATAGCAGTTAAGACTGATGGAAAGTACTTCTTATTTTATTGAAATACGGTAGAAATATGTGAACTTTCAGAACTCTTAAAATTGGCCTTTGGGCCTAGATTTCAGAGCAATACAGCAGCTAAAATGAATGCTGAATCCCTACTGTAGTCATGCCGTGTTATTAGCTCCTTGGTTTTTACAATAAAAACATTTTCTTCTAGGTAAAAGAGGAGAATCAAGTTAATTCTCGTTGACCATGGCACATTTGCAGAAATAATTAGCTGTCCCAGCTCTTAAGATCAATAAAACTTATTCCTAAAACTAGCGACTAGATAAGAATAAAATATTATGGTGATAGTAAACTTTAAAGTTTCTAACTGGGTATAGTTTTTTTTGTTTGTTTGTTTTCCCTTTAGGCTTTGACTTGTGTTTAGAGCTTTTAAATGTACTTTCCAAAGTAAAATGAGTAACTATGTAAGTCCTATGTCTCCCTCGCATGGTCATACTTCTCGCACCGCACAATTCAAATGAAAATTTACAATGAAATACTCTATAAGACTTAAAAAGACATAAATCCCAAATTTCTTCCAAAAATAAAGCATTTGATAAGATAGCACCTTACCAATTTTGACCAAAACAACAACAAAAGTACCATTTGGCAGATATCAATATTTAATCAAGGGCTAATTTATGGTGTTGGAGGCCAAGGAAAAAGCGACTTCTCTGATCTTGAGTCTCGCTAGTGTGTCAAATCAATGTCCACAGTGGTCATGGCGTGGATTTGGGGGAGCCGCATTTTAGGAGGAGGTTGTGGTGGGGGGATGGGTGGGCCAGGAAAAGAGGGAAGGCAGAGTGTGAGACAGGGAAGAGAGACTGAGACAGACAGATGGGGGCCAGGGAGACAGACAGACAGACAGACAGACAGAATGACTTGGGGGGAGAGAGTAAGACAGGGATAGGAAAAGGCAGGGCAGCGGAGAGGACAGGAAGAAAGACAGAGATGGGGGAGAAAGAGTCAGACTCCCAGGGAATAAAACAGAGGCGGAGGGGTAGAAACCAGGGGGCTGGGATGGAAGGAAGGGGGTGCTGTGGTCTGGATATTTGTGTCCCCTCAAACCCATACGCTGAAACTTAACCCGCTAGGTGACGGTATGAAGGGGCGAGGCTTTGGGAGGTGACTAGATCGTGAGGGTGGGGCCTTGTGGATGGGTCAGCACCTTATCAAAGGGGCCTGAGGGACCCTCCAGCCCTTTCCACCTGTAAGGACAAAGCCACAGGGAGCCGTCTGGGAAGCCTGCACCGGACAACAAGTCTGCTGCCACCTTGACCTTGCATTTTCCAGCCTTCAGAACCGTGAGCAATACATTTCTCTGTGTGTGTGGTTTTTTTTAGTAAGTTACTCAGGCTAAGAGTTTTTGTTATAGCAGCTGGAATGAACCACGACAGTGGGGAGGGTGAGAGACAGGGAGAGACGGAGGTAGGAGAGATGGAGAGACAGAGACACAAACAGAAGGGGAGAGATATGGAGAGGGAGGAGGAGGGTGGAGGGACAGAAAGAGAAAGAGGGAGGGCGAGGGTGGGGAGGCCTGGAGCAACAGAAAAGTGGGAGAGAAAGGGAGACAGACAGACCCACGGGGTAGAGAAGGATGAAGAGGAGGGAGAGAAAAGGAGGAGGGAGGAGAGCCGGGGAGCTGGGAGGGGCGGAGGGGCGGGGCAAGGAGGAGCCAGGCCCAGGAAGCACGTGGGACAGACGCGGGAAAGGGAGCGACATACGGGCGAGTGACAGTGCGTCAGAGCCAGGGGCGAGTCAGACACTGAAATGAGAGAGAGACGGAGGCTGAGGCAGAGAAGGACAGAGACGACGTGAACACGGAGCAGCAGGAAGGGAGGAAGGAGACAAAGTGGGAGGACTGAAACCATTCAGTATTAATTTGCTTCTTTTAAAAGAGCAACTGGCTTTATATTTTAAAACAAAGACTACATTCTGTTTCTGCGACACAGCAAGGCGGTGGCCAGGCAGATGATGCATGTGGGCATCTGCGTAAGGTGGCTACTTTGAAACCACCCGGTGTGTGGACAGACAGACACTGGACATGGCTTTCGGGTTGGGTGACGTTTACCATCCACGTGTCTAAAGTGAATAACTTCAGAAAAATGTTGCAAAACCTTCTGCAAGTTTATGCCTTTCAATAGTGATGTCAAGTCACAGTTAAGGAATGTAACAGGGAAAGAGGAAGTAGCCCCGCTGGAAGCACAGATGCTCGGGAGCTGCGGACACAGCACGGCCCGGCCCGCTGCCCTGGGGGAAGGCAGGGCCACAGAGCTGTGAGGTCAAAGCGCGGACGTCGATGCTGATCAGACCCTGATCCTACAGAACCACACGAGGCTGCGCCTGCCCGGCTGCTCTTCTTTGGTGATTTCTCAACAAGCGAATGTGAACGCCACAGGTGACCCTACAAGGAAATTCTGCTTTTTGAGGTTTACGAGCAGCGTCAGGGCGGGAGGCCAGTGAGTGTGACACGTACCGTTGCAGGGAGGCAGCCGACAGGCCCTGACGGCCTCGGGCCTCTCTCCGTCGCAGTGGTCCCCGGCCCTGCACAGGACCTGCCTCACCTCCGTGCCCTCCCCGCAGGTGACGGAGCACTGCAGAGACAAGGGCTTGGTTACGGGCGTCCGCCGAGATCGCAGACATGCACACGCACACGCACGCAGAACTCTGGCGTTCCTCCTCTACTGACGGTGTCCCACAGCGGCTTTGCACACAGATGGTCCTGAGTTTACACTCTGGTTCCATTACTTACCAGCCTGGACACAGTTTTTTCTCTATGAACCTCAGCTTCCCTAGCTGGTAGGAAGCTGGGATAATAACACCTGCCTTCTATGCTTGTTGGCAGACTAAATGAAGGTAAAAGAAACAACATAAGCACAACAGTAGCAAAATGCGTGGCTCCAGTAAGCATTCCAGGTGAGAGGAGCCTTTATTGTGATGAGGTTAGTAGCTGCTGCAGTTCCTAGAAAGACTGGCGATGTCTGTTTTCAGGGAGCCGATCATGGTATTGAGCTCCCCACTTCATCTCTCTTACAGATGGTAGAATTTACTGCCATGCTACTTATTTAATTCAACCTCCAAACTACTATAATTTATTGAAGGGGCCTACTGTTCTAATACCAAGCCCATAAATGTCCATTCTGTTGTCCTAAGTAGGCACTCTGGGGGAAGAACTTCTCTTCTGGGACTTTGATAGGAGTTATCTTTATGGTCCTGTGTAGGTGACCTTTACTTGTGCTATGGTTTGACTGTCCCCTCCAAAACTCATGTTGAAATTTAATTGCCATGGTAACAGTGTTGAGAGGGACCTTTCAGAGGTGGATGTTTAAGAGGTGACTAATGGCATGGACGAGTGCTGTTATCTCTTGAGTGCTTAGTGATTGCAGGAGTTAGCTCCTGGGAAAAGAATTTTCTATCTGTCTTTGCCATGTGATGCCTCCTGCCATAGGATGACCCTGGTTAGACACTGGTGTCATGCTCTTGGACTTCCCATCCTCCAGAACCATGAGCTGGATAAACTTCTATTTTTGTAAATTACCCAGTCTGTGGTATTCTGTTAATTTAGCAGGAAACAGACTAAGACAACCTGCCTGCTCCTTCCTTTCTGAGCCTATTCTCCACTTACTCATTCTCTCTCTGCTTTCTGATGCCTTTTCCTCCTATAAACTCTTCTCCTACGGCCACATGACTCCTTAGTTTGAGTCTTTAAAAATACTAATGGTAGGTTGTAATGAGTCAGCCCGTCACCAAACACACACATCAGGAACATCGTCTGGGTGGGTGCCCCATGCCAGGAACCAGCTGGGTGCTAGGGAAGCAGGACACACTATTTCTGAAAGATGTATGTACTAGTGGCAATCTTACACTCCAAGACTGGAGTTATAATACGCTTCTGCCAACGTCATGCTGAGGGCAAGCTGCACTGCCTTGCAGATGCAGAGGAGGGAAGTCCAGGAAAGGCACAAGCTGAAGTTGGGCATGTGGACTGTGGAGATGCACTGGGGTGGATGTGGGGGAGATTATTCGCTAGGAGGAGAGGAGAGGAGCTGAAAGACAGGAGGCCGAACATGCCGAACAGTTTTCCTAACACCTTCAGGTTACTACAAAGCATGCAATAATTCTCAATCCACACAAAGCCTATTAATGTTTAAGTAAAATGAAAATAAGCTACACATGCTTACACGCACACCTTATGTATACGCGTACAGAGCCCACACACGCACCTCGTTCCAGGGCCCCGTCTTCCACTGTGCGGGGCAGGGCACTCTGCTGCAGGGCCGGCGGCTCTCGGGGCGGTCCCCCGCGCAGTGCTTGCTGTGCACAGAGCGGGCCGTGCCGTTGTGCAGGGGCTGCAGGCAGCGCACGGTGCGAAGCTGGTAGCCGGAAGTGCCGCAGGTTTTGGTGCAGTGTTCCCACTCTTCTGCCACCCAGCTGCGGGCGCAAGGGGTTGAAAGTGAACACTGGCACTGTAGTGCAGTCAGACTTCTGCACTGCAAAGCCTAGACTTTTCTGCTCTCTGAGTGACTTGCAACCTATCGGGGCACACTGCAGTTCAGGAAATAGTTCCAGAAAGGTCGATGCGCATTAGACAACTTTCAAATAGGCCTGACACTTCTATTTTTAACGACCTACTATTGTTTTCACTCTCAGTGACTCTGAGACCTTCTCTTTCCCGACAGGATGATCTACAGAGGGCTCAAATCTCATCTTAAGGTTGCCCTGTTAGGTTCAGACATGAAGTTTTCAAGGATAGCACCAACTCACTCTCAGCCACATTGCCTGGTGGTGTTAAAGACCTGAAAGTAAAGTAAGAAAAGAACGCCCATGCTGCTCAGTAAGACTAACTGATCTGGCTGCTGCTGCCTTTGCATGAAATCTGTAGAATCTACTCACGTCTTAATATGCCAACCAAGATGACCATTTTATTTCTACAGCTGTTGCTGTGAAGGCTACCAGACATTTCTATTCTGGTTAGATGTCTCAGTTCTTCTTGGCCCTAATTATTGGGCCTGACAAAGTAAAGGCATTGTGCATCGGCGCTGGGGAAAAACTACTCCCATGAATCACCTGATATAAATATTTCCAAGGAGACATTTTCAAAAATGTTTCCCGTGGGGACATTCCCAAAGTCTAGTGGCAATGTCAGTGCCCCAAGAACTGTCCAAATCAGCTGTGCATACAACATTACAGACACTTCTCAATTACATGTGGTCACCACGTCCCAAGGGGCTGTCACCACTGACTCCATCTGGTTTGTTAATCTGTCAGAATGTAGTTGAGGCACGCTATTTATTTTTTCTAAAGTTCCTTTTCCTCTGCAATTTTTTTTTCTTTCCATACATCTGAGGCACCTAATTATAACCCCGATAAAACACTGGCATCCTTTAGTATTCACAGTTTAAGACTGTGTTAGCCTGTTAAACCAGTCATAAAATGTATTGTGGCAACTGAACCGAGGAATTTTGCTCAATTTTGAAGATCTCAGTAGTGACTCTCATTTGAAGACAAAGTTTATGTAAAAAGTACACTTCATAGATATAGACACTTCTGATTACCTTTATTCCTTCCTGAAATCCCCAGAATGATAATAAATGACAAAAATGTTTAAACCCACAAAGGCAAAGGAAATTGAGAGGAAGCCACAGTGACATGATTTTGGGACCTAGATGGACATGTGGCAACCAACTCAGCCAGTCTAAGAAGGATGAAGTCTAAGTCCCCAGTATAAGCTCAGAAACAAACTGACTTGCACTGCAGAACTTTAGAAGTGTAAAGGGGTTAGTGGCCTTGGGTAGAGTGTGGGCTGTGACAGCAGGTGACGTCAGGGCTGAAAGCAGGAGAACTTATGAAAAGTCTGTTTGGAAGCAGTTAGACATCCTGATTTTTAACCCCAGAGGGTAATTACCCCATCCCACCTTAGAAGAAGACCATACTTTTAACTGGGTACAATAGACATAATCAAGAAAGAAGGAAACCATAGTAAAAACAAAGGGTTATGTAAAAATCCATATGTGAAATGGTGACCTATACACACAAAATACTCTAGACACCAGACTCTGTACACATAAAATTCTAGACACTTATAAGCATAAAATTTATACAACAGCTATTTAAGAGGCCTATATACTCCCTAGGCAAGAGGTTGACTCAGCTCTGTGGAATCTGATCATTTCATAAGAAATGCCCTACATATATAATTAATTGAAGGTCTTTCGATGGAATGGATAAGCCCATCACCCTATAGTTAAGCTCACCAACTAACAAGTCTCAACTATAAAGCAAACTGTCAATCAGCCTTTTAAACATGGCATTCTTATATATGAATGAAGAGCCGCAAATCACCAGACACAGAAATCCTCTAAAACAAGTGAGGAAGGGGGGAAGTGTGGGGAGAGGAGGGAGAAACAGAAGAAAAGAACTTGAAAGAAATAATGTGGGAAAAGAAAATAATTTTTGATATCCTAAAAGAGATAAAAAATATATTGCATCTGTGAAATAAGAAACAAATGTCTTGAGAAAGGAATACTTGATGAACAAAACATAGCTCTTGAATAGTAATGATATGATAGTAAAAATGAAAGATTCAGCAAATGGAACAATGTACAACAGGAGAGAAAAGTTGAACTACAAATGTCCTAGAAAAAAAGAATGGTGAAAAATAGAGGAAATTTTTCATAGAAAAAATACAATAAGATCTCCCAGAGAAAAAGGATATCAGTTTCATATTTTAACAAGTCTACAAGCGTCATTTGTGACAACATAGATGAACCTGGAGGACATTATGCTAAGTGAAATGAGCCAGACACAGAAAGATATTTAATTAAAATATTTAAATATTTTAAATATTTAAGTAAATGTTTAAAGATATTTAATTTAAATATTTAATACCACATGATCTCACTTACACGTGGAATCTAAAAAAGTGGAACTCACGGACATAGATTTGAAGGTGTAAGGGGGAATGGGGAGATGTTGGTCAAAGCACAAAGAAGGAACACATTTTTGAGATCTATTGCACAGCCTGGTGATTATAGTTGATGATAATGTAATATATGTTTCAAAATTGCTCAGAGAAAAGATTTTAAGTGTTTGTACCACAATAAAAACTATAAACATGTGATGTGATGGATAGGTTAATTGGCTTGATTTAATCATTCCATAGTGTATATATGCATTAATATCAAAACATCACATTGTACTAAATGCATACAGTGATTATTTTTTGATTTTAAAGTCTACAAGTACACAGCAGAATGGATGAGAAAAGAGGAGCCCTACGGCAATTTTATCACTGTGAAATTTCAGGACACTAGGAACAAAATGAGGATTCTACAGAGTTTGAAAGACAAACAGAATGAGGTCACATACAAAGAACTCAGAATTGGAATGGCAACTGACTTTTCAACAGCAACACTGGAGTCTAGAAAATAATAGAACAACATTTTTGAGATTCTGAGGGCTATTGTAGCTCGGAAGTGTATATTTAATACATATGTGCGTGTCTGAATGATCAAAAGTGAGAGGAAAGATTTCTTATATGATCTTATGCTTTAACCTCATACACTTTTCTTAGACGTCTAAAAATTTAATTTATATATATGAAAACTTCACTGTTTTGATGAAGCTACTGGAAGGTAAGACGTACCAGAATGAAAGAACGAATGAACGAACCATGGGATAAGAAAGCTAACGCAGGACACAGGAGGCCCCGTGCAAGAGAGAGGCGCGGTCCCCTAGGAGGACGCGGGACTGACACTGGTTGAAGCCCCGGGTTTTGGTTGGGCCCGGCCGGTTTTGTTTTCGGCGGCTTCTTGCTTCGGGGGGCCGGAAGTTGCCGGGTTCCCCGGCTTTTCGTTTTTTCGGGGGACTTGCCCTTTTGGAGGGGGTTTTGGGGTTGATTTGTTGAAAATTCTTGGAAATTCAACCCCTTAAAATTCAGGCCTTTACTGCAGAAGAAAACATTTTATAAGAAAGGAAAACGGAACAATCAGAGCACGGCACGTGACTCAGGAATCAAGAAGGACACACATGTCAATATAAACTCTGAATATCAGTATCAGGAAAAGGTAGGTTACGCCAATACTGGAAGTCCTGGGAAGGAGAAGTGAGGCCCGGTGCGTGTGCATTGGGTAGGGGTTATAAAATAATGCTAAGTCTTCACATTTCACGGAGAAAATTCAATATGTAATATCAAAACTCACCCCTTAAAAGAGTCAAAAAATAGAAGCAAAAACATTTTTCTTAGAGAGATGGAAAAAACGAATGATTACCAAATATCAAAAGAAACATAACAGTTCAAAGTGGTTGTTTTTGAGCAGGAAAATGGCAAAAGGTGGGGAAACTACAGCTTTATATGATTCCCATGAAATGGTGTGACTGTTTAAATCAGGTACATGTAGTAGAGCTTTGCCTAAAAATAAAATTAAAACTAAAAAGGGCTAAAGACATTTAAAGCCTTGCTTTGACCTCAGGATATAATAGTTAAGATCAAATGCTTACAGTGGGTGTGTACACTCTTGGATATTGCACATTCGTCTAATGGGTTTCGGCTTTTTATTGGCCTCACAAAAGCTGCGATGAACCATTTTATTATCACTTTTCCTACGGCATCCGTATTTGGTGTACTGCAAACCTGGGAAAGGAAATGCATTGTTTGGGATTTAGTCACTTCTTCATGCTATCATATATCATATATTTGATTACTCATTCAATCATTCATACATTCATTCACTGATTCAACCCATATTTATGGAGCGTATTACAATAAGCCAGGTGCTGGAGGTCCCAAAGGGAATTAAAAAAAAACCCAGAAATCCTTATATTTTCAGAGCCTACATTTAATAAATGTAATAATTTATTAAATACCAACTGTGTACTTGCTAATGAACTGGACTTTAAATATACGTAGCCTAGTGTCAGAGACAGATGTGAGAACCACTGGCAATACCTACCGATGTAGGCTTTTCTAGAGCTATGTAAATAACTTAACTGTAGAGGGCACCAAAGGAACACAGAGAGAAAGATTTCCCTCTTAGCTGGAGGAGGGGTAGGGAAAGCATATAGGATCAGCATTCCTTGAGCAGAATCTTGAAGTTCAAGTAGTGTTAGGTGAGGGAAATGAAGCAGAATTATCCTCCAAGCGAAAGAAATAACATATATAGAAAACTGCAGGTCCTTCAGATGGCTGAAGTATCATGTGTAAAGAGGGCTGGAGACAGGAAAGGATTAGATCTTGAAAGCCTTCACGTGTCAGACACGTGTCTGGACTTTATCCTCAAGGTTACAGGGAGTTCCTGATGGAGGTCTCCCAACCATCAGCTTTCACATTTGTAAATGTGTCTATGTGTGTGTGTGTGTGTATAATATACATATGATATACACACACACACACATAAAGTTTTGAAGTTTCAAACCTACAAAATGATTGTAAGAAAAGCACAATGAACATTTGTGTGCCTTGCATCTAGATTAATATTTATTACCATTTCACATTTGCTATATTTCTTTCTTTATATATATATATTATTTTTCTAAACCCTTTGAGAGAAAGTTGTAGCCATCCAGATCCTTTGCTCCTAAATACTTCAGCAAGTATTTCATAACAAGTACATTCTTTTATATAACTACAATATAATTCTTAAAATCAGGGACTTTAACACAGACACGATGCTATTCTCTCACCTACGGACCACAATCAAAATTTTTCAGTTGTCTCTCTAATGCTGTTTATAGCATTGCTTTTCCAATCAAGGATCACGTGTTGCGTTTAACTTGTCTGGTCTCTTTGGCCTCCATCAGTCAGAATAATTTCTAAACCTCTTTTGTCTTTCATGGCATTTACTAGTTTTGAAATGGACAAACAGTAGTTTTGTAAAATGTTCCATAATTTGGCTCTGTTGAATTGTGTCCTAATGATGCGATTCAGGTTATTCACTTTTGGCAAGAATACTACACAAAACGATGTTGCATCTTCAGGATTTTAATTGGGGAAATAATATAATTCTACTCATTCATTCATCCATGCATTCATTTAAGAAGGATTATCCTGGAGATAAAGGAAGAGAAGAAATGGCACCTGGTTCCAAATACACAGCATAGTCAGCCACGCAGTCATATGGAACACACAGCTCTTTTATTCACACTGATGGGAAAGAAATGCATGGATATGGAACTTCCAAGTGGAGAGGAAAATTGAGACCAGAGTACCGTGAATTTGGGAGAGTTTGGAGTTTGGTTAAAGTGATTAAGGGTTCTACTACAGTAAACACAAGACATAAGGAACCCGAGAGAAAAGGGCAAGAGGATTTCAAGGTCCACCATGGCGATGAATGAAAGCCTACCCTTTGCTGGTTCCGAGATCTCAGTACAAGTGTTTCGTCTTTATGTTTTGTGGTTATGTCTGGTGTCTCCCCGACTGGGGCCTCAACTGGAGACAGTTCTTAAGGTAGAAGCAAGATTGGCTTTCGTGTGAATTACATTTTAACAGAATAAATGTGTTCTATTGTTACCTCCGCCACAGGGTTTGGAGCACTGAGACCAGCTCTTCAAAGCCCACTCGAAAGTGTCTAGTTCTTCCTGGATGACGTTGTTGCTGTTGATCGTAGGGACAGAGTCTTCGTGGATGATGTACTTGTATGTCAGGCTAGAGCGGGTGTCATTCTCTTGAGGTATGATCTGACACACACATGAAATCAACATGTAAATCACCGCAGAGCTTTCAATTTTGAGTGTGAAATTACAAATATTTCAGAATATTGCTCTTATTAAAACTGGAAAACTGGGCCGGGCACGGTGGCTCACGCCTGTAATCCTAGCACTTTGGGAGGCCGAGGCGGGCGGATTGCTCAAGGTCAGGAGTTTGAAACCAGCCTGATCGAGACCCCGTCTCTACCAAAAATAGAAATAAATTAATTGACCAACTAAAAAAATATATATACAAAAAATTAGCCGGGCATGGTGCCGCATGCCTGTAGTCCCAGCTACTCGGGAGGCTGAGGCAGTAGGATCGCTGAGCCCCGGAGATTGAGGTTGCTGTGAGCCAGGCTAATGCCACAGCACTCACTCTAGCCTGGGCAACAAAGTGAGACTCTGTCTCAAAAAAAAAAAACTGGAAAACTTTCAAGTATTTTCTAAAATTAGAATTTTTTTACTTCCATCAACTAAAGAGCAAGTATGCCCTGTTTAAGAAAAAATTGCAAATACATGTAAGACTTTGTACATAAAAATATTAAAAAGTACATACACCGAGGAGTAAGAGTTTATATAATGAAAACAGTAACTTTATGACATTCACTACAGGTTTCCTTAAATTACACTGTTTTGTTATGATAATAAAGATACTAATATTCCCTCCAGAAAATATATACATTATGGAAAATTACAAAGAAAATAAAAATCATCCATAATTCTACTAACCAGAGAAAGCCAAAATCATTTTTATTATTTTCAGATACTCTCTAAAGATATTTGCATTGTGTGTGTATTTGTGTGTGTGTACATGTATGTAGAGACATACATGCTTTTCTGGCCTTGCTACTTCACTTAATGTGTCATGCACATTTCCCCAGATAGTAAATATTCTTTGAGGACATTTATTTGTTTATTTATTTTTAGAGAGGAAAGAGGGCAGGAGGAGGTGAGGGAATGAGGCAGGAAGGCTGGGGAGGGGAGCAAAATCATGCTTTTAAATGTCAGCATAGTCTTTACTCCTTAAAGTGTGACATACTATTTAACCACTTATTTATTTTTTATTTATTTTTTTAGAGATGGGGTCTTGCTATGTTGGCCAGGCTAGAGTGCAGTGGCTATTCACAGGCATGATCCCACTACTGATCAGCACGGGAGTTTTGACCTGCTCTGTTTCCGACCTGGGCCGGTTCATCCCTCCTTAGGCAACCTGGTGGTCCCCCCACTCCCGGGAGGTTGCCATATTGATGTGGAACTTCGTGGGACGCCCATAGGCATTGCGCACTACAGCCCAGAACTCCCCGACTGAAGTGCTCCTCCTGTCTCAGCGTCCTGTGTGGGACTACAGGAGCACGCCACCCAGTCTGGGTAACCATTTACTTATTAATAAGTACTTGTATTGATTGGAATTTGTCTACACCTTTGTGGGAATTTCTAGTTTTCCTTACAAGGCTAGAGGGTACAAACTCGTTTTATAGTTCATATAATAGATTGTTGAATGGCCCTCTTAAATGAGAACATATGAAAATGTTCACTCAACACTATAGATAACATAATTTTCACCTTTATTAACTGGATGGAGAAAAGATCATTAATTGCTATTTATTTGATAACTAGTAAAGTTTAAATTTCCTGGGTTTATGATTCACTTGTATTTTGTCTGATGTACATTATATGATCATCAATGCTGTTTTTTATGGGTACTGTACACATATTTTTTCTTTTCTAAATAATAAGGTATTCATCCATTTTTTGTAATAAGAATTGTGCAAATATTCTCTCAGTTTGTTACCTGCCTTTTAATTTTGTTTAGGGCAGAGTAATCTTTTTGAAAAATGCATTTTAATTGATTTCATGTAGCTTTCATAGGATTGCACCAATTATATACAGGGAGAAATGTGTGATTCATTGGTATTTTCACTATACCTTTAGAAACAGCTTTTGTTTGAAAAATGAAGTGATACCAAACCCACTGGGGTAAAGGATCTGGCTATCTGGGTTCAGTTCTCTTTTTTCTCTGTCTTTGTTTATAAAACAGCATTAAAAATCAGCACCAACCCTTATGCTCTAGTCAGCTGTCTAAATCTCTCAGCCCCAGCTAGCCCAGCCAGCACGCTGCAGGGCTGCAGCCCCGGGCGTTCAGTCCTTAGAGAGGAAAAGAAGGGCCACGATGACAGAGCACTGCTGGCTCACAGCCCCTCTCCTGGTTACAAATCTCCTTCTTGTGCCTCCAGCCCACGCCACTCCACGTGGTCACATCACAACCAGTGGGCAAAACCTCGAGGCCGCTGCTACGGTGGCTCAACATCTGGGCTCTGAAATCAGATATCTGTGTTGCAAAATGTGGATTATATAAGAGTGATCTCCAATCACCCAAACAAAATAATCTGAATAAAATTCTGATGAGTACATATTTTGCTATAAAACTATCTAATGGAACAGAATGAGAGTCCAGAAGTAGACCTACATAACTTCAGACAATTAATTTTTGACATAAATGAAAAGGCAATTTAATAGAGAAAGGACAGTCTTTTCAGCAAACAGTGCTGAAACAACTGGACATCGTGGTGCTTTTAAAAATATGTCCAAGATTGGGTTTAAAAAGACTGACAACTGCCATGGTGGCACTGTCTCACTTTCTCTGTCACTTGAATCACCTGCTCTAGTGGAAGTCAGTGCCATGATGACAGGACACTGAAGCAACCTATGGGGAGACTCCGGCGGCGAGGAACTGAGGACTGTCAGTCACCACCTGGGAGATTGCTGGGAGCAATCTTCGGAGGCCTTCCAACAGCCATGGGACTCAGCCTGGAAGCAGAGTCACCCCCAGTCAAGCCTTGAGGTGACTGTGGCCCAGCCGACAGCAACCTCATGAGATACCCTTTACCAGAGCTAGTCAGTTAAGCTGCTTCCAGACGCATGGCCCACAGAAACTATGAGATGACTGCTGCTTGTGTTTAGCCACTGAATCGGAGGGCACTTTGTTTTGCAGCAATAGATAACTAATATTGACATCCATTTTCAAAAATAAGAAACTAACATTTTATACAAAATTAACTCAAAATGGTTCATAAACCTAAATGTAAAAATTTAACCAAAAAAAAAGAAGAAAATATTTTGATGTTGGATTAGGCAAAATATTCTTTCATAACACCAAAATACCAATCTATGAAAGAAAAATTCATAAACTAGACTTTGGTAAAGCTAAATTATTTTGCTCCATGAAAGAAACTACTAAGAGAAAGAAAAGACAAGCTATAGACTAGAAGAAGAAATTGGGAAATCACGTATTTCAGAGAGGTCTTACATTTAGCATATAAAGAACTTTCAAAACTCAAGAAAAAGAAAAAAAAAACTTACTTTAACAATGGCCAAAAGATTTGAACAGACACTTGAAAAGAGAAAAAAAATTTCAAAGAAAAAAAGACTTATATGAGTGGGAAAATTTGATTTTAGATTAGTATACTTTTTATAGGGAATCCAATAAATATAAATTCTGTATAAATACAAACAGAATCCAACAAGCCAAATCCAGTAGCTGCCTTCTGCTTTCATCCACGAGGGGGTAATGGAGTTACCTTCTTGATATCAAAAATGCAAAAATGATCAAACTGGGTGGAAGATATGAGGGAACTTTTTTTGGCAGCGGATAGCACGGCAAAGGGCAAGGATCCTTGTGAGGAGAGAAACAGGCGGGTCCTAACTTCCTGACGGGGGCCAGGTTCCGGACCCAGCACAGCGAGGAGGAGCTCAGCCCAGCCCAGCAGTCCCAGGCAGCTGCGACACGGAGCGAGAGCCTGCGACTTGCAGGGCGGGCTGCTGCGCAGAGGCGGCCGCGAAGTCTGCACGAGCCCTTCGCTGAGGGCTGGTGTGTGTGCCGGGGCCAGGACATGGGGGCCTGGGAGTGGCCCATGGGGGCCTGGGAGTGGGACAGAGATACTGGAGTTCAGATAGGGCCGAGCTCAACAGGGCAAGAGTGCTAGTTCGTATCCAGCCAGCGTGAAGATGACCCACTAATACTTGAGGTACTCCGTTAAGGCACCAGAAAGTCCACGTCACAGGAATAAGGACAACATCGAAACAGACCAGCCCTCATGAAGAATAAAGCCAGGTCTCAAAGGATGAGGAGCATCTGACAGCAACCTAACTGCCTGCTAGAGCAGAACCCCGCACCTTACAGTCTACCATCCACACTGTCTGCTGTACAAGACAGAAATTGTACGAAGCAGGAAAAATGTGATCCACAATCAAAAAAAAAACAAATCTGGCAATATAAACAGATGACATGGAAACCCAGAACGTAAAGGATAAATCAAGTCCGGGCGTGGTGGCTCACACCTGTCATCCTAGCACTCGGAGAGGCCGAGGCAGGCGGATTGCTCGAGGTCAGGAGTTCAAAACTAGCCTGAGCAAGAGCGAGACCCTTGTCTCTACTATAAATAGAAAGAAATTAATTGGCCAACTTATATATATAGAAAAAATTAGCCGTGCATGGTGGCGCATGCCTGTAGTCCCAGCTACTCGGGAGGCTGAGGCAGGAGGATTGCTTGAGCCCAGGAGATTGAGGTTGCTGTGAGCTAGGCTGACGCCACGGCACTCACTCTAGCCTGGGCAACAAAGCGAGACTCTGTCTCAAAAAAAAAAAAAAAAGGATAAGTCAGGCATAATGACTGAACATATATGGAAATGTAGCAGAGAAATGGAAATTAAAAAAAGAAAAAAAAAAGAACAAAATGGAAATTCTATGAAAAAAAAAGTACACCATCTGACATGAAAAATGTATTGGATAGGCTCAAATTCCCTGGATAGGTTTGGCGATCACATAAGAGAAACAGTCACTGAACATAAACAGCTCAACAGAAATTACCCAATCTGAAAAACATATTTTTTGAAAAGATTATGAAAAGATGAATAGAGTCTGAGACTTGTGGAACAATTTCAACTGTTTAACATGCGACTAAACGAGTCTCCCAGGGCTGAAGAGGAGAGAGATGGGGAGAAAAAGAAAATATAATGGAAAATTTACCTAAATTGGGTGAAAAGCATCAATCTACAGAGTGAACGTTCCCAGTGGACCCCAAGCATAGCACATACAAACAAACACCACAGACTGAGTGAATCGTAATCAAACTGCTAAACAAACAAAACAAAGAAAAAAAGAGAAAAATCTTTAAAAAGCAGCAGAGACAACTGACACATTCCATGCAGAGCAGCAATTTAAACGAGGCTTCTCGTCATAAATGCTGGATTCTAGGGGACGAGTACTACACGCATGAGTCAAGGACGGCTCCTGTATAATGGCCCCTAAGTTGTTTCTTTGCAGCAGACTGAGACCTCGTAGCTCAAAAGCCCACAGATGCTAAAAGCAAATTTTGACACAGCCAGTTGTTTTTAATGTAGCCCAAATAAGAAGAGTTTTGGCCATTTAGAGCTGGCCTGCTTTGCATACCTCTAGCAAAGTGCATCCAACATCTGCCAAGATCTTGTGGCTGTAAGGATCCAACTACTGCTGTCCTTGGAACTCTGTGACCCACAGACTCCCCGCTATGCTGCGGACAGGACATCACCTATGCCCATAAGCCCCCACTCCATTCCCCTCTTCCTCAGGAGTTCCCTCGGTCTTCTCCCCTTTGGCCCCACTTGCAAACCTGCTAGAGGCTCACCCAAATACCGCTTGTGTGTGTGCTACTGCCACCTTGTGGTCATATCTTTTTCTTCACTCAGCCCCCAAATCCACTGAACTCCCTGCAAGATCGTAACATCTCTATAGTGCTGAAAGAAAAAAAAAATAGAACCCCAAGACTCTAAATCCAGTAAAGACACCCTTCAAAAATGAGGGCGAATTAAAGATACTTTCAGGTAATTAAAAGCCGAGAGATTTATTTGCTAGTAAATGCACAGCACAAGAAGTGCTAAAGGAAATTCTTTATACTGAAGGCGAATGATCCTAGATGGAAAGGCAGGCCTACGAGTTAGAATGAAGAGCATCAGAAATGGTAAATATGTGGGTACATATAAAAATGTACTTTTTATTTTCTTGTTGTCTTTAAAAGATAACTGATCACTTAAGTGAAAAATTGTAATACTGTACCGTTCAGTTCATCGTGTATATATAATAAACTATATGACAATGTTGCACAAAGAATAGAGGGGAGATAAACAGAATTATAAAAGACAGACAACTAAACAGTCAAAGCTCAAGGTACAAGTGTTTTCAGATGAATCAGTTATAAAATTATAAACTACATAATGAGCCTGTAGTGCCACCTACCAACACAATAACAGGATCATGTAAGGGGCCATCGGTATGCAGAGTTTCAATGTCATCTTCGATGTTATAATCCCACTCCACACCAAGGTCTATGAATGTCCGTGACTTGGCCTCCTCCCCTTTGCCATTTAAAATATAGTGGCCTGTAGCCTGGTTCTTAATAGCTAAAGGAAAGAAATGAGTTATCGACATATAATTTATTTTATCATATTACAGTGTTAAAGACTCATAGTAAGCGTACCCCTTTCTATAAACCAATGACCATGTTTCCTTGTTAGTATCAAGCAATCAAAATGAGTGTTAGTTCTGATATTATTCCCATTTTGGTCATTAGGCATTCAAATCTCTCAAGAAGCATTCCTAATTGGTCTAATACAATGGCAAGGTGGTTAAATAGGCAAAAATAATGTTTGCAAATATTCCCATTTGAAAACATTGTCAAAGAGGTGAATGGCTGCTAACCCATTCATCCTATACATTTCCTTGAAAAGCTGGGAACATTTTGAAAATAATGAATACTTCTGCAATAATTAATACAAACAATTTATGCTAGGATAGCATATAGCACAATGGCCTCTTTCCTATGTATTTCTTAATGTTGGTCAAAACATTTATAGCCACCCAACATAGCTGAAGTAATTTAATTTCAGGCCAACAGTTTAGTTCTTATGATTATAAAATTCCAAATCGACATCACGTCCTTATATAGTTAGAAAAAGCTGTTTAATGCTGATAGGATTCTTAACATATTATAGTTCTACTACATATTATAAAATAAAATAAAATGCTACATTAGTGTTTAAAAGATAAATGGGATTTTACATTTTGGAGGTTCTTATCAGCATATATTGATAAGTGAGAAAACAAAATTTCACAGGTACTACCATTACTGAAAATGTGTAGAAAACATGAGTAATTTTAATTAAATACATTTATTCCTCTTGAGCTTTTAAACAAGTATCATTTTTCCAAGGATAATAATCTGAATTCTAGGATGAAAATAAGGAATTTTAAATACTGGGGGGAGAACTATGGCTGACAGCTACACTGTTATGACATCTAGTAGTGAATATAATTTAAATATTAAAAAATTCTATGAAACAATTCATCTTTTTAAAGTCACACATAAAATTTGCTACAAATCTTTATGGGGTTGATAGGTGATTTCTTAGTTTCAGAAATCTTCTTAGTGCTTTTTATAGGCAAAGAAATATGTCAAGGTTATGTTTACATGTGAACACACATTTTAAATACAAACCCCTTTAAAGTGACATTTTTACATGTCTATATTTCTCATAAAAGAGAAAAAGAACTTCTTTTTGGAAATTATAATCAGTCTTGCAAATAAATCTGCATGTGCTAGTCAAAAACCTGACACATATCAGATGTTAGAACAGTCTAATATTCAACTAATAATAGTAAAATTCACCTGGGGATGCTTTCTAGCCAAAGATCTTAAATAAAATGCATTAAAAATAAGAGGTTGCACACAGTATGGCATCAATCAAAATATCAGAACTCACTTCTCAATATGATAAATTTTTCTATTATTCCTTAATTTAATGCATTTTATTAACAGATTTCTTTTTGTTATCCCCTAACACAGAGCAAAATATGCATAACAAATACAAACTTGTCAAATGATTTTTTTTCCCTCATGTAATTATGAACCAACTCATTGATACAAAAATTAAAGCTCTATTTTTGGACATTTCTTGCTTTAAAATAAGAATAGTTGGGAGAAATGACCAACGAAGACTATATAATATTCAATTAATTCACCTATAATGTTGATTCTTACATGCGCACGTATACACATACACATGCGCACTCATCCGCATGTGCGGTTTCTTTGACAGGGCATGGTTTCAGTGCATGGTGTGGCAGAGCCAGCAGAGAGCAACACTTACCAAGAATATGAGGAGAAGCCTCGTCTTCTTGGATTAACACATGTCTAGCCCCAGGGGGTATATCAAACATCTTAAGGTACCCTTTGCATGTGGAGTAAATATTGTAGGAAGCAAAGGAGAAAACAAAAGCACAACTATGGTTAGCAGAGCGCTACATCCTGCTCCCGCATGCAGAAGACAGCATCCATAAACTCCAACAAGCAGTTGCAGAAAAGAACTTCAAAGCATTGGTAGCTTTTGTGACATCCGGCATGAGATTAGAGGAAATTTTTCTTTATTAAAGGCGGGGGTGAAGTTAATCTTGTTACCAATTTAGTAGTCATTCATCTTGTGTTGACCTACAAATCGTGTCAACAGCAATTCAGGCGAATACTATACTTGCCTGTGTCCCTCTATGCGATTCTGGTTTGCTAAACTACTCTTTTGAAGTGGGGCCAGTTATTAGTAGTGAGAGTTCACTTAGGCGGCGAACATGTTATTTTAGAAGCCTAAGTGGCAAGTATAGATAGTTAAGCTTCTAGTGATTGAAATATTTTCATGTTTAAAAGTCTACTTTAAAGAAATTACAAAAGAAAAATCAGTGCGTAGCTTTCATTTTTCCTGTGCTCAGTATTAATTTTTAAATCTTTAGACAAGTTTTATGATGTGACTATTTAAAAATACATGTTATAGATGTGAGCAAACCCTTTGGTTGTGAAATGTGTGCAAGTTATGGCATTATTTATTGCCTTACCTGCACCCTAACCTCACTCTTCTAAGCCAGAAATAATAAAATCAATATGCTTAATTGGTTGCTTTGGGTTTTAAAATCATATATCATCCCTATCACTGTTAATACCATATATCACAAACCTTTGCAATATAATCATATGCCCCCAAAATTGTCTTCCAATCACTTAGAATTAATATTACAACTCTAAATCAACAATAGTCAGGTCAAATAGAGAGATCAAGATGCTATATTTCATTACCATAAAAAATAAATGAAAATAGAATGATTATGCCACTTATACCTTCAGCACATTATGAAACAACCAATTCATAATCCAGGTATGAGTACTGGCAAAAATTCAGTTATCAATACATAATCATTGATGGAATCAGGAAAAAAAACATGTTTTTTATCATTTATATAGATATAATTAATATGTACCTATCGGTAGATTTGTCCAACTTTCTCACAACATTTACTAGTGTTCTAACTAAATGGAACGGTCATTTGGGTATCCGGGCTTTCAGCACGCTAGCCCGGGCTAAAGTCCAACACGTGAAATGTACCACATTTGCCTGAGTACGCAATGGCTAGAGCAACATGCTTAAGATGCCAAGTACAGCAAAACAGCTTGATGTCATTTATGGATGCTCATCTTTCTGCAGTTTGCTACAACTTACCCAGTACATTTTTAGCTTCTCTTGTCTCAGCAAGAGAAACATCACGAGCTCCTTTGGGTAAAGTGAAAGCACCTCTCGTCTTCCCTTAAATAGAATGTCTTTAATTAGTGGAGGTTTCATGTTTATCAAAGTCTTGCTGTTTCATTGACTATCCTAGAAGCCGTGTATATTTTATTAGGTAAGATATAAAATATGTTTGGCAATTTTATATGTTGAAGTCAAACACATTTATAATAGTTAACACCAATGAACTGTTAATAGTCAATGAAAGTAAGACTAAGCATGAATGCAAAACAATGTAGGTGATTGGAAGTTGAATACTTGCAGATTTCATTTTCCAGCAACTTGAATTCCTTATGGCACCTCTTGCTTAAATGTTTCCCTGTTGGAAAAGGTTAATTAGTCTGTTGAATAACTATGATGACAACATTAGTGCAAAGAAATGGATGTTAGATTATCTTTGAACAGTTTGAATCTGTACGACCGATGAAAATTTTCTCTTGATCTTTTGACTTTGATTTGCAGGTTTAGAATAATGTCTGGGGTATCTGAAAAACAGTATCGCTACCTTATATCACACATAATGTGGAATGAATGATCATGTCATAAACTTTTTTTTTACATTAATTCACTCTGGAAAGAAAACAAAATGCATTATTTTACATCTAAAAGAAAAGAATAATATGTAACTCTAATTAAAAAAACCACAGTACATTATTTCACAGTAAGATGAAGAAAATTACATTTGAGTCCACCAAAACCGCAAATATATGTATATAATTAAAATGCTGACTTATTAAAATAATGCACTCAGCCAGAAATGGCAATATTTGCTTTTTAAAAATTTTCGAAGTGCAAAACATAATTTATCACACAAGAATAGCAAAGACATCGGTAACTAGAGCAGGGAATGTCTGAGAGAAACACATTAGAATATAGTCATTTAGCTTTGCTCTCTTAAAAATATCAAAAAGCAAAGCTGGTATGGATGGAATGAGCCACAGCTGGGTAGCTGGGTGTCTAATGGGAGTAAAAAGGGTTAAAAGAATGAGTCCATTTGGATGAAGACTTTTTTACTCTAAGCTATTGACTAGGTAACAAGCACAAAACTTCACACTCATGAGCACACTCAGGTTATTTTTCAACTGTACCTCAATTTTGTTTAAAATAGATTTGTAAAAATCATGTGAAACATAGATCCTATGTTCACAGATTTATAAACAGGATAAAATTTTTCACTTTTAAAATAAGAGAGGTGAAACTAATGTAAAGTTTTAAAGGTTGTATCTAAAGTTTTGTGATTTTTTTTTAACTCCTGGTCAACAATTTATGTGCAACAGGAATTCAAAACAAACATCAATTTTAGAAATCAGATCTGTATTTGATGCAAAATGAAACAAAACAGATCTTAGCTAACTACTATAATACTTTATTTGTTCCTTATCCAAATTTAGTTGATAATTTTTCCATCATGGGTGCTCTGGAGTGCGAATTCAGTCAAAGGTTTGAAAAGTAATCTGAATAAAAAGAAATCAGCAGTGAATTTTTTGATTATGTTCATAGAGAAAATGCAGCACTTGTAAAAGTCTCAAAAGGCGCAAATCTTAGAGAAGGGTATGAAATGCATGAGAGGCCTCATCTTACCAAGCTTCCTGGGCGTCCTGGTAAATGTCCCCTTCACGGTGCGACAGTGGGAGTTATCACCTCCGCAGACACCACACTTATCCTCCACCTTGTTGGAACCGATTTCTTTATCACAGCCCACTTTCTAGGGAGAGAAGATGTTAAACGTGGCTGATTTCAATGCGCCAAGTAGAGGCTGGTCAACATCCCCGAGAATGACGGACCACGTGTCGAAGCAGTCCACAGTCGGCCAGTCTGCACCAGACTTTCACCGTGGTCATGATTTTTAATACCTCAGTCTTTTAAAGAACAAACTAGTGTGAAATCAAATGCCTTGCACTCTAGGTGATAAAGGATAATTTTTCCCCTGCCTAATGAAGTATTTACCCCATCATAACTTGTCTTTTTTTAAATTATTTGTTTTTATTTTTATCTTTTATACATATATATATATATTTTTCTATATATATTAGTTGGCCAATTAATTTCTTTCTATTTATAGTAAAGATGGGGTCTGGCTCTTGCTCAGGCTGGTTTCGAACTCCTGACCTCGAGCAATCCACCCGCCTAGGCCTCCCAGAGAGGTAGGATTACAGGCGTGAGCCACCATGCCCGGCCCATAACTTGTCTTGATCATCAATTATTGAACACAGATATAGCTGATATTGCCGAGACCAAAAAACAATAACATCGTGCTTTTTCCCTTGTCACTTTCATATTATAAAGATGAATAATAGTATAGTGAGTCATATATTAGTGCAAACTTTAAAGCTGGCTGGACAGAGCATCATAGAAGTGGTGGAGACTTCTGCAGGGCCCTGAAGGAGCACGGAGAGAATGGAAAGGCGTTTCAGGAATGCGGAGGGGTTATAACAGAGCCATGGAGGTTGTATGTTCATGGAAAATGGGTTCAGCGGTCAATATTTAAACCCATACTTAAACCAATGGAAGGTTAGCGTTGCAATATACAGGAAGAGCAGTCAAAGTTCTGCATGGCTCAGGCTGCAGAAGAGTTTGAACACCAGGAAGGGTTTACATTTTCACATTTAACAGGGAGCTATTGAAGGTTTTCTAAGCTAGGGCAGGCCCTTGATGCAACTTGTAGGATAAGGAGACACAAAGCACTGCTGCACTCATGAACTTAGGAATGACAGTTGGGCAGGGAAAATACAAACACCACATACATTTAATAAACTAGATACACTCTGGGAGATGAAGGACGAACAAGACACTGTCAAGGAAATTTGAGTTTGACCATGAGCCATCTAAGCACTTGAGACTCATTAATAGAACGCTTTAGATTTTGCTGAATTGAGATGTAAACAGCCATAAGGGGCAGTGTGTCAGTTAATAAAGATAATTTCTTATCAATTTAACTACGAACATAAGGAAGCAAATGAACTGCATTTTTTAAAAATGATTAAATAGAGCGATGAACATTGTTTTTGATTCTCCAATGCTTTTGTTCTGATGTGGAGTTTAGGCTTTAAACTCAGAATAAACTGGAAGGTGAGAGAGGAAGAAAACGATGCCTCATTATCTTTTAAACAAAAGATATACTTAATAGTGCATTTTTTGAAAAAGACCTTGTGTTTTAACAGTAGTGCTGGTAAAATGCTCAAAGCAAGTGCATTGTTCCCAGGTTGTTGTCTTCCCAACCTAGAATTACTTAGAAACTGCTGGAAATTAGGAAAACCAGTTAAACCCTGATTCTGCCAGTGACCAACGTTGGACTTGAGTAAGCCCAATTTCTCCCAGATTTGTTTTAGTTACTGAATTATTCATAGATTCCACCATAATGTGATTTCACAGATAAGAAATAGTTTAAAATTTTTTTTAAATATGCAGAAATAGTAAATGAGGACTCGCCCTATGCTGGAGGAAGGCTTTGGGGAAGCGATTTGAACTCACCACACACTCGCCCCGCACGCAGATGCTGTACGGATCTTTGTAAGAGCAGCGAGTTCCGTCCTGTACCAGCTGTTTCATGTAAGCAACATCTCCCGTCTCTTTGGATTGACAGTAAAGGTGGCATCTTTTCTTGGCTGCATGAGATGGAGCATAAAAGAAAACAAAAAACTATTTACATAGAATGGAATGTTTGAACAGCATAGTTTATTTTATTTTTAAATATAAAATTTCAATGTGGCTTTCTGAAAACAAAAGGAATACTGTACAAATAAATAAAATGAGGAGTAGGAGAAAAGTATGCACGTACAGCAGATTGGCTTTAGCTGGGGTGACCATACGATTTGTCATCTAAACTGGAACACTTTTGAAAGATGAAAAGGGGCTGTCTTAATCATTGAGCAGGGAAACAGGTATAAACTGGGACTGCCCCAGGCCAAGCAGGTTGTACAACAATCCTAGATTTCATCACAGCTGTTTAATAAACTTCCATTCAAAACCAGCTTAGTTTCAGTGCTGTTAGAGTACCAAAAGAATGTCTCTTTGGTTTGAGTCCATCACTTAAGCAAAGTTCTTGCTTCTTAAAGGATGCAACTCAGTTCACCAAAATAGATTTAAAAAATGATGCATTTCTTCTTAATGCATTGCAACTTTGAATTCCTATGTGTATCCAACTTTTCTTTAAAACAGCTTTAACCTGAACTCAGTAGTACATTATATCACATGATAATCATGTAACTATTTTCTTTTATTCACCTGAATAAGAAATAATATGCCAAGAAGTTGCCACTTGAACACATTTAACAAAAAATTCAGAAGAAGTAAAAACATTAAAATAGAACTTTAAGTATATTTTAAAAAATTAATTTACAATACAAAAGTAAAAAAGGTTATGAAGTGTCTTTTGTTATTAAATAATGGCCTTTTTCTTGGTCCTAACTCAAATGTCAAAGAACTATATTTTTTCTCTAGCTGTTCGGAAAGGAAAGATCGCAATATTCCAGAAGCATTTCCTAGTGGGGGGTTTCCAGCTGAATCAAGAAATCCAGCGTCTCTCCCGGGCGTTACTTTTCCACTGGTCTCTCTGGAGACGGTGATGGGGCCGCGTGCCAGGAACGACTGCGCAGTTCTTGCCTCTCTAGAGAAAGGACACTTTAGCCCTGTTCTTGGAAACCCAGGAGAACTCACCCCTGATAAGCACCAAGCTGCCTAAGTTACCAAGTAGGGATCAAGAGTCCATAGGACTGGTGCTGGCAAAACTTAAACCCTAAGTCCCCGTCCACACAGCAGGGCGAAGGGCCAAGCTGCGGAGGCTGCTCACCGTCAGAGTGCTCGTGCGGCAGCCAGTGGTGCTTGGCGCCCTGGTATTCAAAGTGGGAGTTGCGCTGCTGGCACTGCTGGGCTCTGAAGTCCTCGAAGTGTTTCTGGCATTCTTCCGTGTTACAAAGCTGGTACTCAAAGTTAACACCAGGACAATCCTGACCGCCATTGATGGGCCTGAAGAAAAGGCAACATTTAGAAAGGCCTTTGGCTTCGGGCCAGCCGCTGAAGCCGGGGCACGATGCCCGAGGGCAGAAAGCCACGGCTCCCAGCTGCCAGCGCAAAGCAATGAACTCACACTTCCTAAATTTCAGTCGCTTCCCCAAAGCACCCTTCTCTCCCTGCTGGGAGGGGAAAAATCCCATACTCGACGACTTAAATAAGCTTTTCAAATTATGCATTTTAAATGCATGGCAGAAGTATATAAAGAAATAAAAAAGCATGCATGTGGACTAAAATATATAGATGCGACTCAAAGAAACTTTGATCATAGCTCTATGCCTCAGTTTCCTCATATGTAAGATACAAATACCACTACTATTTTCCTTAAAGAAAAATTGTGAGGATTAAACGAGTTAACATATTGGAAGCCCTCAGAAGGACTCAGGCTCATGGTGAACCTTAGCTGCTATTACCATTATGATTTTTATTGTTTTTCTTACTTCTACTCATACTACCATCATCTCTTCCTGTGGAGACAGGTATGTGGCACCAGAGAGTCTTTATAAAAGACGTGCTCAGAGCCATGCTGCTTGAAACAGAGAGAAAAGGCTACTCATGTATTAAACCCCAGACAAGGAAGAATGTCCTAAATTTAATAATTCGGGGTTTTTTTCCTTCATAAAATACAGTTTGCCTAGCACAACACAGGGATTCAGTATGTGTTCTGAGTGAATGAATGGATAACTTTCCTCCAGTGGTTTCCTGGCCTTCTAGAACAATCTTTCTGCTGCCCCTCCTGGAAGCAGCGCATCCTCCCCGCAGAGAGAGCGTGTGTGGCTGGAACTGCCTGCTGCTCCAAGTGCAGCTCACGGCTCAGGTGCTCAGGCCCTGAGGGCTCAGTCATCTGCCTTCCCTGCTTCGCTCCTAGAGCAGGTGTCTGCAAACTTCGGCCGGTGGGCCACACGCGGCTGTTTTTGCCTGTTTGTTTTTTTACTTCAAAATAAGATATGTGCAGTGTGCATAGGAATTTGTTCATAGTATTTTTAAAACTATAGTCCGGCCTTCCAGGACAGGCCCCCTGTTTAAAACGTTTGAGGACCCCTGTTAAAGGTTCCTAAACAGTAATTTCTTCCAGAATCTGCTATCTTCATTCCAGTTTCTCATCTTCATCCCCGACTGACTACTCTTCACAAGATTAATAAACAGATCTATCCTACTTGGTACCCAAAAGAGGCTCTGGTTTCTGAGCTGTGACCAATTTCTTTGCATGCCCTGTATTTTACATGCACCTCCTGAAACAGAATATTGATAATGTAAAAACTGGAGTTTTTCTGGTCTATCCAAAAATGACAAGAATTACAAGGACTATACTCACATGGGATTATTGCACTGGCGTGTTCTGAAGCGAACACCAGTCCCACATGTCCGAGAACAGGAGCCGAACTTGGTCCAGGACCCCCAGTTGCCATCCTGCCTTTGCTGGTTAGCGTTCTTCCACATGCAGTGGCCCTTGTAGCACCACTTAAAAAATGGCAAAAGGTAATTATGAAAATCACGCATTTACTAAAGCGAAAGCTGTTATATAAGAACCATCTATGTGCAGGGCTTCATTTCCTCTGCTTTGTATTTTCCAGGTAGAGATGCACTTAAAAGTATCAAAAAGCAATTAAGATGCTCTATTGGAAGGGGAATTTAGACTTGCATTTTTCGAGTAAGAAATTAAAATAAAAAGTAACATTTACTCGCATAAGTTTTGTGATGCATTCACATGTGAGTGTTAAACATCATAATTGATAAGTAAGTACTATTCTACCTGTCATTTCTCAGTACCTACATCATGTTGGGAAAATATGACTGAGGAATTAATGAAACATGGCTCATAAGGTCATTATTCTATTGTACAACCCAATATTACTATATTAAAGACAGAAACAGGAGTTTGCAGGGTTTTGCCCTGAAGGAATGTGTGGACTCAATGGTTCACTTATTAGAGGCTGCTATCATGGGAGAGCTCTCAGATCTCCGGTAGGGATGTTTTCCAGGAAGGCTTCCCAGTGTCTCAAAATCTGTGAGCTTCCCTGTGTCTTGAAAGACAAGACAAGGCAAACATGGCCCACAGGATGGGAGCCGGAGACAATGAGTGCACTTTGCCAGAGATGCGCCCCGGTGGTTATAAACAACCTGTTTGATAGAGATGGGTTTCCTGCTCTCTCCTGTCTGTCTACCTTTAAGTCCACCATAACTAATCAAAGAAATACAGAGTCACTAAACCTCTTTTGTTATACCTTTGTTAATTGACGACTACCTCTTAGAATTTAGAAGGTAGCCCCTGAAAGACTTTGTACCTGTTTGTTCACCAGATAGATTAGAAGCCTCTTGAGACGACTTTTGACCCTAACCCACTACCTGTATCCCCTAGCAACTGCATTCCCTGATATGCAAATATGTTACCCTGACAACTGGTAATTGATGTCTGTGATTATAAAAACCTGTATGAATCTAACCATATTGCTGGCGTTTATGGAGATACGCCAGTCTCCTAGGTACTCCCCGCTGTGTTATATCTGATCTTTATATATATAAAAAACTATAAACTATACCTTAGTCTCTGTGTATTCTTTTATTCTGTTTCCTATCAATTTCCTTATCCTCTGTGGCGACCCCTATCTTAGGGAACTGGCTCTGTGGGGAGAAGCAGCTGATCTCCTCGCGGGCCTGCCTCAACTACTCCCCTGCAATATCATATGAGGATTTCTGAGGGCAATATGTGCCCCTTTAAAATGATAACATGAAAATATATGTCTTTACTTAGAAAATAATTAACATAAATATTCAGCTTTCAAAGCACTTTTACTTACTTTTTAAAATTTTCGTTCGCAACGTTCTGAGAGATAGATAGGTCCGACATACGATCTTTGCCATTTAGATGAGGAAAACTGGAGCCCAGAAAGGTCGTGAATAGTTGAAGGCCATGTGACCAGGAAGAAATACAGTGGGACTACTAATCCCTGAGACTACAGGGGCACCTAGCTTACGGCGCCCAACATATAGCAGGTGCTCAAAAGATGCTAGTTACTTTTACTCTAACATTTTGACTTGCTTTTTAATACAAAACACAATAAAAGTATTTTTTAAGACTCAACTTTTATAAATTTAAACATAACACAAATATATTTATTTAGGGAGTTGGATATTAAGAGTTGATTATAACATATTTCTTTTTAAAGCAAAAATGAATAAACTCATCATTGCTCTTGTTTTTAGTCAGAAGTTTGTAATACTGAATTTTCCCGGAGCAGGACAGACTTGGCAGAATGCCTAACCCTGCTAACACTTACAACGACAGGTTTTATTATCATCATGCATATAATTCTCATCACAAGTACAGTTTATCCACATTTGAAATCAAGCTTTAAAGGAACTCAAAGCTATGTAAATCTTCGTGCCAGCTTTTGGTCCTGTCCACAATATCTTATTGCTAAACTAGTCAAGGCTCTTCAACTTGAGTTCTGAGCACGCCTTTGTCTAGGAGCTTTGCCCTTTTGAGTGGCATAGCTTGGCATGCAGCCAGTTTCTGAGTATTCATCCCTGACTACGCGATGTGAGATTTAAAACCTCTGGGCATCTCTCCCCAAGGAGCAAGGCCAAATCTTCTGTGTAAGTTCACATGACTTTTAAGTCTGGGCAGCTTTCACAAGGCCTGGGATGCCGGCAAGCAAATCAGATCCCACCAGCAGGGGCCAGACGGTCTGCTGAGTTGCTTCTTCCTCTTCCATCTGCACTGGGCTGAATGGTGGTCCCAAAGATACCAGGTTCTGATCCCTGGAACCTGTAAGTGTCACTTTATTTGGAAAAAGGGTCTTTGCAGATTAAGGATTTTCAAATGGGGGGATTAAACCAGATGATCCGGGTGGGCCCTAAATGCCATTACCTGTGTATGCTTATACGAGAGCAGAGGCAGATTTGACACACACAGAAAAGCAAGAGGTGATGTGGCCGCGGAGGAGGCAGAGGTTAGAGTGGTCACGAGCGTGGGCAGCTCCCGGAAGCTGCGAGAAGCACGGAACAGGTTCTCCTCCGGAGGGGGCAGGGCCCTGCCTATGCACTGATTTCAACCCAATGAAACTGATTTCAGACTCCTGGTCTCTAGAACCGTAAGAGAATGAACTGTTGTTTAAAGCCACCACGTCTGGGCTAATTTGTTTCGGCAGCAGGGAGCTAGTGCACTCTCTTAGTGCATTGCCACAAGGAAGCCTCATGGAATGTGGTTTTCAAAAAAATGACAGTGCAGCTGTCTTCACCATTTTCTAGGCTTTTTAGGATGATCATCATGCAGCGTATCTTAAACCTTCATTGTGAAAATAGATCTACTCACTTTTCCAGCAGCACATTCAGTTCCATCGAGTGGGGGTCCCTTTTTGGTCTTACAAAAGTAGGGATTATCAGGATGGCTGCACCACAGCTGTTTGCATGGGTCGAAGGTTCGAAACTGGAAGAGAATCAGACTCTGAGTGAACCCTCAGATAGCACGACATGCAACAACAATATGTTCCATGCAGTCTCTGCATGCCATGTTCCATGGATATTTTTATTTCAAGTTAATAGCCAAAGTTGTGACATGTTACGAAAAAAACACTGCATAAGAATTCCAAGTAGAAAATATTTTTATTCTGCTTTCCTAAATTAACAACAATAAGCATTGATTTGTCTGAGATTTCCTGGTTGACTTTTAATGTTCCCACATGCTATTTCTATTTTCAGGTTTTCAAATAGACAGTACTGGAATTTCAAAAAGAGTTTGTAATTATTATGAACATTGTAAATATGAATATATATTATAATGGTTTAGCAGCTCTTAAGCTATCAAAATGTCTTTTCTTTATCTGTGTAGGCATGAACTAGTTACATACAAATAATAAAAATATTCATAATAATTAGTTGGCTAAAAGCAGAAAAATTTTCTCAAATTGTCTGTGTAAGATGAGGCATTCCAGGTATAACAAAGTATCATAACACACTCATATAGTTTACAAAATACTTTCCATATATTCCATCCTCGTACCAATCCATGGCTGAAAGAATATGGATTAGAAGTTAAGGCTATAGTTATGGTTACAAGTAAGACAGTAACAGAGCCAGACTAGAGTCTTGGTTTCCACATTCTTGAGAATGTTTTATATTTTCCTAAAACACCACATTATAATATCCAAATGTTTGTGTAAGCACACACACACACATATTTGTGTGTGTTCTTTGTTCATCTGCTCGTTCTCTCAAAATGTAAACATCTTACCATTCTTTACATTTTTGAAAAATATCAAACAACTGCTTGCCTGCATGTCTACTGGCTACACTGCTGATTACCCCTGTAAGCCTTGTGTGCACAGATTTTTTTTTTTACCCATTTTTAGACCTGGATTTTTTGTTCTAACCCTATTACTTAATGTGGAAATTGTACTTTGCCTTAACATTGAGCCAAGCTTTAAAACATTAATGTGAGTATTTTAATTACGAGCTCACAGTGTATACCTTATAGACAGACCAAATGGCTGAATATGGAAGATTCCAAACAGCAGATCAATTTGTTTTTGGGACTATGAAATACTTATTTTGTCTTGCTCTAACACACAAAGCTAGCTACAACATATAAAAAGTCTTTCCTTTTAAAAAATGAACTACTAAATGTCAACATGGAAATTTAATGAAACATACATCTAATCTGAAGAGTTATGTGGAAGGCTGGCTTTAATGGGTTCCATTTAGCATTTACTATGTGCCCGTGTTGTGCTAAGCACTTTAATTACATTATCAAATTTCATCCTCACACCAACCCTATGAGATAAATACTATCATTATTCACATTTTACATATAAAGCAACCAAGCCAAGGAGATTCAGTGTCAGATCCAGGACCTGACGCTGCCAGTCTGAGTGTGATGTCCATATTCCTGACTCGCACGCCGTCCATACAATGCTTGTGTGAGCAAACACCAGCACAAACCTTCCCTGTGGGCACACATGCATGGAATCCAGCCCATAGAGCCGAAGCAAAGCAATATAACTAAGGCTTAAGAGTCATCTCTGAAGGTCACAAAAACCAGGGGAGGAATAGAGCATAAAAATTTGAGCCTCTGAGCCTCAACTGCAAATCCAGCTCCACTATTTACCAGCTGTGTGACTTAAGCAAGTTGCTTAATCTCTGTAAGTCTTGAAATTTTTCCCTATACAATAGAAGTACATCAGCCCCCTTCCAGTCTGCCATGAGGATAAGATAGTATATTTAAAGCATTGAGCTTTAGCACATAGCAATATAACAAACAAAATAACTGGTAGATGTTCTTATATTTGCACCTCTGAGTCTCTAAAGCTCACCGAGCAGGAGCTACACAAAGATTTCAAGATGCAAGATCTACATCCACTAAGAGTAACGTACCGCAGTGCACATTTTATAACCAACACCAAAATCAAAACGACATTGCTCATCCATAGAATAATTGATTCCAGGAAGTTCTGGGAGTTTGGGCCAATCATGTTCAAAAGGGTCATCGAGTAGACAGTCATAGGAACTGTAGGAAGGAAAATATTGCATGTAGTTAAATTTTCACTCTGTATAATCATGTCCTTATGGAAAAGTAATCTTAGTTTATATACGCTAGAATTTCATCAGATCATGGAGCAAGTTCACAAAAGCATACGTTTTAAAGTTTTGGTTTCAGTTCCATTTAGAAAAAGCCCCTTCACCCTTATTCATGCCAAGAAAGTAAAACCACGTAAGACTTAAGCAAATAATAAAGCCATGATTATTTGCATCACTAATCAAAACCCCGCGTGGCCCAGCAGGGCATGTCCTGACACGTATACTACAGGGCACGGGCGGTTTAATACACCAGAATCACATGACCATCCTCTCCTCACCTTCAACTCAAGTTTGACCATTAGTCAAAGATTCCATAAAGAATTTACTAAGGGGACCGGGCATGGTGGCCCACGCCTGTCATCCTAGCACTCTGGGAGGCCGAGGCGGGAGGATCGCTCAAACTCAGGACTTCGAAACCAGCCTGAGCAAGAGCGAGACCCGTCTCTACTAAAAATAGAAAGAAATTAATTGGCCAACTGAAAATATATAGAGAAAATTAGCCGGGCATGGTGGTGCATGCCCCGCTACTTGGAGGCTGAGGCAGTAGGATCGCTTGAGCCCAGGAGATTGAGGTTGCTGTGAGCTAGGCTGCTGCCACGGCACTCACTCTAGCCCAGGCAACACAGTGAGACTCTGTCTCAAAAAAAAAAAAAAAAGAATTTACTAAAGGGAAATTATATTACAGCTAAAAATTAAATTCTAGGCTTATTGCTTAAAATTGGGATGTTATAGAATTGTTGTACCAAATGCTCTGAATCGTATGAAAATATTTATCATTAACAAGAGTTCCCATTTTGTTAGGATTGAGGCCCTAGAGCTAGTTCTATGTCTGCAGGCTATGAAACAAATGCTGTCACTTCGCGCAGCAGGGGACATACTGGATGTATCTTTTCAGCTCCTGGCCGCTGCACCGGGACCAGTGGTAGCGATGGAAGGCGGCTTGCACCAGGGGAGCCATGACACTCCCCATGGCAGTCTCGTCGCCGCACCTGTTGCCTTGCCCGTCATGCTCCATGCCCAACCTAGAACACAAAGCAGACACCACTAGTGAGACTCGGGGGTCTACAGCTTTTGATTAATTTCTGTTTTCAAAATAAGTACTGGGAAATACGTATTTTAAGGCAACGTGGCCTTCTTAGAGGAGTCCCAGAAGCAGAAATCGAGAGCCATCTGGTAGACAGAAATGCCTTTCTTCTCCTCTGCAAAGCACAGAAGTGCCTCCTGCAAGCCAGGTCACTCATTCGGTTTCAGCGCCTGAGCTCGCTGCAGCGCTCGGCTCCCCACACTTGGCAAGAGAGCGGAGCTGCATCCTGGCATGCACTCTGCCCGGAGCGGGACAATACTGGGAGAAGCAGGAAAGAAAGAGCTTTTTTTTTTTTTTGCTTTCTAGTTGTCAACAGTGACTTACACATGGCCAGTTTCATGGGCTACTACAAAAGCAGATGAGAAACCATCCTCGTGATTGAGGGTACAACTTCTCACTGGGTGACACATGCCCGTGACTGGAGCATATCCTGTAGAGAATGACAATTACTTTTAGTATTTTCATTTTATGAGAAACCCCACTAAGAATTACTACTGGACGTCTGCCTAGAGTGCAAAGAAAAAAGAAGCTTTTCAGCAAACAGAGCAGTATTCTTTCCCTGCTAGCGTCATGCCACATTCTCTTGGGAAAGTCACAGGTAATGGTGGTCTCTGAAAAGACTCACTGGGGCTGCCTTTTCTTCTCTCCTAAGGGAAGGAACTGCCTGGGGTTACCATTCTCTTCTGCCCCCCAGCCAAACCTTGTGTTTCTGTTTTAGCAAAATGGTCCTTCCTATCGTGGTATTGACGAAGGGAGCCAGAAATTCCATCAACACTGAAAAGAAAATCATCAGTCTGCTTTTTCCAAAGTCCACATCAGAATCGACTGGATAAATGTAAGCTGACTTTGGAAGAAAAGCTCTTTGGCAGCAGTCGTCTCTCATGGCATCTCTCTTCTCATTCCAGACAGTTAGTAGAAATCACACTGCGTTTTACAGCACCCCCTCTGTACCCTAAGCTCACAATCGTTATTTTAAAGGCAAGTATGATTTATTACGGTATTTGAGTGGCATTTAACATTGTGAATTCCACAGAAGTTGCTGGAAGCAATAGAGAGAAAGTGTATGCTTGGCTGGCACATGGTGGGAAGTGGTGGTGAAGATGTGAGTATTCGAACAGACTGCCTGATGCAGGATTACTTTTTAAAAAGTCAAGCCCTGAAGTTTTTCTTCTACATATTGATGACAATACCTTGCATTCCAGCAGGCCCAAAGTCTTGCCTGGTTAAGAAGATTGCGTGATCGTGGTGCTCGGAGTGGTTGAGATCAGATTTTTGTTGTTGGCAAGCCCAGCGACACACATTCTCCAAGCTCCTGGATGGGTTCCCCCTCTCTATGAGGCTGATGGACTAAGAGGAAACAACATGTTAGAGACACACATAATATTTTCCCAAAGACTTCCTTTACTAACTCTTTCTGCAGTTCAAATTTGGTGTTATTGTACTTAAACAGTATTCAGCAATAGTATTTGGGGCTTATTTACACTTGTGGCTTATTTACCATTGGTCTGGGAATTCCAAATGCCCATGAGAGACAACATTATGACGATCAATATCACCAGTGTGAAAGTTAACTGACACCACCCATGAGAATGTCTGAAAGTCTGTTGCTAAGTGAGGCAACTTAATATGAATCATTTGAATAAAACTTTGAACAACTGAAATATTTCCTGATTCGGCTTAGATTTGGGTTTCGCAGATATAAAGAACAAAAATATCAGGAAAGATTTTGGCTTGAGACTGTTTTCCAGAGATGCAAAAGCAGAAGATCTTATTTAAGATTTTAGTTTATTTATTTAGTCCAGAATTCATCAACATGTGGGATATAAGCTTTTCCATGACCTGGCAAAGCTAGTCAAATCTTAGTACATGGGGAGAAGTCAAATGATAGTAACTTTACACTAAAAACAAGCAAACAAACAAAAACTACCATTTTAAATGTCATGGTAATGAAGAGGGGTGGATGGATTCTTACCTTGTAGTTCCAATAGACGAATTTAAATTCCTTGGAATGTTGCTACTATCACATTATGGTCAGGAGTTAAAAGTTCAGAGGGGGAAGGGCCCATCCTTCAAGAACCCCGGAGCCACTTCCCAGGGTAGTTCTGATGGGATGAGAAATTGAACTTGGAACCCAAAATTAGTCCCTACTTGGCTGACAGGCTGAGATTTCTGTTATATTTCAGCAAATGTTATCATCAGTGTTTACATTCTTAATAAAATGAGCATGGTTTGCTATATGGTGGCCACATACTTTTCTAAGCAAATGACTTCACGACCAACTGAAGGCTGTTAACTCCAAGTGGAGTTAACTTGTGCTCGTTGCTGGCAACGCAAAGTAGGTCACGTTTATGGGAGGGATAAACTAAAGATCAATGACACCCTATCATTAGAAAAGGGTAAGTGGATGTCAAATATGTACTGAAAAATGCAAACACATGAATTTTTCCTATATGCACAAATTCATTAGTATTTTGTAATCAGGAGAATTAATTATGAGAGGGGGCATATCATTTTAAACATCAAGAAAAGGAAAAAGTTAGTCATTCTCCCTACATTTACTCCTCAAAGGGAGAAAACCTTTTCACTCATTTCATCATTTCCAAGGAGGACAAATCCAATAGCATTTTAGAGCCAGCTAAAATTAACATTACATGAAATGCCTGTGGTGTGCATTTTGACCCAACTTTTTGTTTTAACCTCTTTTAAGTGAAAAATATTCACATGTACTTCACTTTTCTTACGTGGACAGATATATGTGTAAAATGTTTTTAACAAATATCTTTAACAAATATCTTTTCTCTTCACTGCTATATTCCAAGCAGCAAGCATCTGCCACTTAGTAGGCACTCAGTATAAATGTTTTGAATGAATAAACGAATCGAAAACTTGTTGATAATGATAGACCAAGGAAATTCTCTCTTCTCATAATGTTATCTATTTGTTTCCATTCATACTGTCATGCCCAAATCAGGATGACTATCTACACTTCCATGAAACAGAAATAATAATAGGAGCACAAAAATCATTCATTATCTGCTCAGATTTGGAAGTCTCCACTCATTGTGCCAGTGTCTCCTCCTCAATTAACTCAGATCAATTGGGGTCTATCTACACCACAAGTTAGCTACAGCGTTAGCAGTTTAGTCTGTTGTTTGCTAACCCAGTTTCCAATATTTACAGCTCACATATTTTAAGGCATTTTACCTTTGCATAACCCAGCATTATCATGCGCACCAGGACCACATTTATATGCACTCCAAGGGACTCATCGTGGTAAATTTCATTCACCTAAGAAACAGAAAAGATACCTGCTAAAGGAGAGGCAACAGAAAACGTTTCATGAGATGCACAACATTTAAGGGATCAGCCGTGGAAAGGTCCTGGAGTCAAATTACTTTCTTTTTAATTGAGTTTAAATTGAACTCTGAAATGAAGTCATTTTAGCTTTGGACCAATCTTTGGATATGTGAATTACCGATCTTATACACTCCACAGTAATAGGAACATAGAAACTATGCTCAAAAAGGGCTTCATTAAACTATTGTAGTGCTGGAAGGAGTATGATGTAATCCACACATAACACTCACCAAAAGCAACTGTGGCAGGGTGACTCTGGCAAACCATCTGCTGTCCTGTGAGTTGGCTGCAACCATGGTGGGGGAATAGACACCAGGCCCACGTGGGTGCCAGGTGGAAGTCCTTCAATATTTGAATTACTAAGGCAACTGTGCAAGTGCACACCAGATGAAGGTCAGTCTTAGATGCAGCTCAGAAGAGCAAAACTAAATACTGCTTTTTTTTAATTGTTAAAGTTAAGCTGAAATTTCTAAAAGTGATTTGGTATACTTTACAATCACAGATATTAGAATTAACACAACCTCAGTGGTTTTAGCCCAACTCCGTTTTTTTTTTTTTTTTTTTACAGATGAGGAAGATAAAGCCTGTAGAAATTAACTGACATATAAAAACACACAGTGAACTACTGGCAGATATAAATCTAAAGTGGACTGTAATTGTATCTTCTTATTAAACTAGTGCAAAATTAGCGCTGGTGAAACATGCTTAGCTACTTGGCAAATGCTAGCAGGAATGAGAAAGGTGGAGTTAGGCTAGGATACAACGTTCTTAGCTGTTCCCAAGAACAAGAACTCAACACTTGTCACAATGACTAAGAGACGATGGAAAACTAACTGCAACTCAACTTGAGATCCAGGAGATTTGGACAATAGGCATAGCAAATCTGAAACCTTCAGAGAAAAGATAGGCAAAATCTCATAGGGAGTAGCTTTAAAAATAAATATAACTCAAGAATGAAAGAATGCTCTACAAAAAGAAATTCACAAATCATGCAATTTTGACTTGCCACACTGACCAAAAAACAGACCAAGAAATGAAATGTTTATGTTTCAAGAATCCAATGTGATTGTACAGTATGATATTGGCTGTGGGTTTATCATATATGGCCTTAATAATTTTAAGGTATGTCCCACCTATGCCTATTTTGTTAAGAGTTTTTATCATAAAATTATGCTGGATTTTGTAAAATGCTTTTTCTGCATCTATTAGGAGAATCATATGGTCTTTGTTCTTGCTTTTATTTATTTGGTGAATTGCATTTATAGATTTGCATATGTTGAACCAACCTAGCATCTCTTGGATAAAGCCTGCCTGGTCATGATGAATTATTATTGTTATTATTATTATTTTGATATGCTGTTGGATTCAGCTTGCTAAGATTTGGTTGAGGATTTTTTCATCTATATTCATGAGGGATATTGGTCTGTGGTTGTATTTTTTTGTTGTGTCCTTTCCTGGCTTTGGTGGCAAGGTGATATTGTCTTCATAGAGTGAGTTGGGGAGGATATCATCTTTCTCAATGTTGTGTAATCATTTCTGCAGTATAGGTATGAGCTCTTTGTAGTTTGATAAAATTCAGGTGTGAACCTATCTGGACTGGGATATTTTTTGTTGGAAGATTGGTAATTGCTGCTATAATATCTGTGCTTGATATTGGTTTGTTCAGGAATTCAATTTCTTCCTGATTGAGCCTAGGAATGTTGTGCGTTTTGACGTATTTACCCATTTGCTCCATGTTTTGTAGTTTTGGGGCTATAGATTTTTATAGTATTCAAAGATAATGTTTTGTATTTCTGTGATGTCTGTAGTGACCTTTCCTTTTTCATTTCTAATTGATCTTATTAGAGGCCTTTCCTTTCTAGTTATTGTCAATCTAGCAAGAAGGCTGTCAATTTTATCTTTTCAAAAAACAACTTTTGGCTTTATTAATCTTCTGTATAGTTCTTTTATTCTCAATTTCATTTAGTTCAGTTCTGATCTTAGTTATTTCTTTTCTTCTGCTAGGTTTAGAATTAATTTGCTCTTCCTTCTCCTGTTCCTTGAGATGGTTTATTAGTTTGTTTTGGATGTGAACATTTAATGCCATTATTTTTCCTCTCAGGAATACTTTTGCTATATCCCACAGATTTTGGTAACTTGTGTCCCTGTTATCATTTAATTCAAACAATCATTTGATTTTCATCTGGATCTCCTCCTTGACCCAATAGTCATTCAGCAATAAAGTGTTTAAATTCCATAACTTTGTAAAGTGGTGAATGTTTCCATTGGAATTGATCTCTAATTTTATACCACTGTAGTCTGAGAAAATACATGGTATAATTTCTATTTTTTTAAATTTGTTGAGATCTGATTTGTGGTCTAAGATGTGATCGATTTTAGAGAACGTTCCATGAGCTGATGAGAAGAATGTATAGTCAGCTTTATTTGGGTGAAATGTTCTGTAGATGTCTGTTAGATCTATTTCTTCTAGAGCTCTGTTTAAGTCCATTGTTTCTTTGCTTATTTTCTGCTTAGATGATCTGTCCAGTTCAGTCAGTGGGGTGTTGAAATTCCCCACTACAATGGAATTACTGTTTATCATGTTATTTAGATCAAACAGGGTTTGTTTTATGTATCGGGGTGCTCCTGTGTTGGGTATATAAATATTAAGAATTGTTAAGTCTTCTTGTTGGATTTTTCCTTTCACCATTATATACTAACCATATTTATCTTTCTTTACTTTTGCTATTTTAAAGCTTATGTTATCTGATGTAAGAATAGCTACCCTGCTTTCTTTTGGCTTCCATTTGCCAGGAAGTTAGTCTTCCAACCCTTGACCTTGAGTCTGAAAGTGTCTTTGTGGGTTAGATGCATTTCCTGGAGACAGCGGATACTTGGCTTGTGTTTTTTTATCCACTCAGCCAGTCTATGACTTTTTAGTGGCCATTCATATTTATTGAGAGAATTGATATTTGGGGTAGATTTCTGTTCATACTGTTGGATAAATTCTTATTTTTTTGTTTTACCTCTAGAGCTTTTGTGGAATCTGGGGTCTAGACTTTAACTCTTGAGTGATTTTACTTTGGTGGGTGTCTATTACACTGTTCAGTGTATAATACAGCTCTGAGTAATTCCTGTAGGGCAGGTCTGGTCTTCGCAAATCCCATCAGTGATTGCTTGTCTGGGAAAGTCTTCATCTCTCCCTCATAAATGAAGCTTAGTTTGCTGGGTAAAGAATTCTATGTAGGCCATTATTCTGTTTTAGAAGATTGAGGATGGATTCCTTGTTTCTTCTGGCTTGTAAGATTTCAGTTGAGAAATCTGCAGGTAGTCTGATAGGTTTTCATTGTAGGTTATCTGCTGTTTTTGTCTTAGTGCTAGAAGGATTGCCTCTCTTGTGTTTAGTTTGAACAGCCTAATAACTATGTCACGTGGTGATTGCCTTTTCACATCGAGTCTCATAGGAGTTCTGTGGGCTTCTTGTACCTAGATATCTAGATTTCTGGCCAGGCCAGGCAGGTTTTCCTCCAGTATTCCAAGAAATAGATTTTCCAGCTCGTGTGTATTTTCTTCTTCTCTCTCTGGGATGTCTATAATTCTTATATTTGGTTTCTTCACATAATCCTACATTTCATGTTATTTTTTTCTTGTCTCTTGCTTCTGTGTTCTTTTTCTTCATCTGATTTGTTTAGCACATAGTTATTATCTTGAGACTCTGAGATTCTTTCCTCTGCATGATCCATCCCATTCTTAAGGCTTTCCATTGTGTTTTGTAGTTTCTTGAATGCCTCTTTCATTACCAGTATTTGTGTGGTTCTTTCATAATATTTCAATTTCTTTACAGAATTTTTTCTTCATTTCCTGAATTGTTTTTGTGGCTTCTTTGTGTTGAGTTTTTATTTTCTCTTCAATTCCATTGAATTTTCTTATAATCCATATTCGGAATTCTTCCTCCATCATTTTAATCATTTTGTTTAAGTTGATATCCATTGTTGAGGATCTAATGATTTATTTTAGGGGTGACTTTTCTCTCTGATCTTTCACATTTTCTACATTCTTTTGCTGATTCTTTCTCATCAGGCTACTTGGTTGAGAATTGGGGTTACTGGGATTGGTTTGTGCCTCTATTTCCAAGTCCCCACGGGTTCATTCCTTGACAATGTTGGGAAGAAGCTCACTGGTCCTATATTGCCTTAGAAGTATGTTAGCAAGTTGGGTTACCTCTGACCTGTTGTCTTCAACCTTTTGCCAATGGAGATTAGTGAGTTTAGTCCCCAGCTTAAGCTCCCAGGTGGTGGATGGCACTTGTGTGTATGACTCCACTGTCCTCTAATGGCTAGAGATGGAGGGCACATTGGGTTAAGCTATGGGGTTACCCTCTCTGTCATTGATTGTAGTTTGTGTGGAGGAGCCAGTTACTGAGATAATCTGATGTTTCTGTGTTAGGCTCTGGTCCCCCAGATGGAGTACATGAATGCCCCGAGCTTTGGGAAGGGTCTTACCACTCCTGAGGGTTACTTGGACCCTGTTCCCCATTAAGGTGGGGGTACGGGCAAGATACATCACAGCTGGTGCCTGTAAGCCTGGGCTGTGTGTGCTTCCACGGTTGCTTGATCTGCCACTAGGGGAGCCACTAATGTGTTACTCTGGGCTTTTTTACCACACTTGGGAGGCTGCTCCTGATGGGATGGGTCAATTGGTGCTATCGCTGAGGTCTCTGGGTAGGTTTTTTCCTCCCTGTCCACAAACCCCAATGCAGCTGCCTGGAGCAGAGAAAGCCCTAGAGTTATGATTATTGGATGACCTAAGCCGGTCTGGCAGGGTGAATCAACAGGCCACCAATGATTGTTCAGCACCAAGCTCCTGCAGATTCAAGCCAGTCGCATAGAAAAAGTGGCTTTTCTTGCTTCACCCCACTTCTAAGGGTGAAGCCTGCTGCATCATCCCCTATG